CTGAGGTTCCCGCACCCGCCACCGCTGCAGCGTCGGCCTCGTCTATGAGGCTGACAGTTCGAAATCCACATCAGGTTCACCAGCTCAGGCCCCCACCCCAGCTACTGACCAGCCCAACCGGTGGTGTGTCGACGGGAAATTTCAAGTCTACTCCGACGCCAAGTTCCTCACTGACAAAGGAGTTATGACTCGAACACTCACCTTGGAGCGGTGGGTCCTTACAGGGAGTCTCCCGACGATGCCTGAGATCTACAATCTCTTCACCAGGCATCGCCTGGAGTGGACAGCACGTTCGTTGGGACGTTATAGTGAAGAAATGGTCCGAGAGTTCTACGCATCCTACGTAGCGACTCTCTGATCACAGATAGATAGGCGGGCTTCCCTCGCCAAACAGGCCCCACTGGAGTAGGTCCGAGTACGCGGCGTGCAGGTTGATATTTTCTTGCCTGCCATCCGCCGGTTTCTATACAGCGAGGGTGTAGATGCTACTCGAACCCCTCTCACTGCCGAGTTTGACTACCGATGGTAGATTCTTAAAGATGGCCAGTTCCTACGCGAGCCATCACTGAGAGAGACCACCAAAGAGGTGGATAGCCCTGCACCTGTCAGTTGATGGAGAGGGTACCGACTGGGTGACGGAGCCAAAGGGGGCCATCAAGAAGGCCAACCTAACTTTCACGGCGAAGTTCTTGTGGATGATTGTCCGCCACTACCTTTCCCCCACAGCCGCTGATAATATCGTTACATGGGATCAAGTAGTGTTGATGGTGGCGATGATTGCTGGGTTCGGGGTGGATTTCGCGTGGCTTCTATAGGCAGTCATACACGAGAGGACTTTCAAGGTCACTACTACTTACCCTTTCCCGTGCATGATATTTTGTCTCTGTAGGTCCGCAGGTGTGCCTATATGACACGTAGATCATCTCAAGACCCCGCAGGGCACTGTTGACGTCGGCCTTATCAGAGATGAGGCAAATGAGTTGGATCCACGCAGAGGGCCCCATCCAGAGCTGCCCCCACTTGCTGATGATATTGCTGATACGGTAGCCCAGTCCCGCACAGCTACGCAAGTGGCGTCCACTAACACTACCCCAGTCGATTCTATCCCGGATAGTAGCACTGCCCCGAGCTCCTCTCGCACATCCCCTCTACCGGCGCTGGTCCTCACACTATGAATATTTCCTTAAATGGTTAAAATAATGTTTCTAGACCTGAACAAATATTATTAACTTGGTTTGGAATTATTAGAGTCTAAACGTCAACAAATGACCATGACGTTCAGAATCTAGTGACATTAAACTAGTACGTGTTCTAGGGTATTGTGAAGGGTTAAGTATCGTATAATGGTTAAATATTGTAAAAATAATTTAAATAGGTAAATAAATATTTTTAGGGTCAAAACTTCCAGGTACGACCCTCCAAGGACAAACCAAGGGGTCCTTGAGGAGGATCTAAACTATTGACCAGAACCTGTCAAAAGACAACAGCCATCCGCGAATGCCTTTGATGGACCGTCAAGGGAGTGACGCCCCGTAGGTCAGTATCGTGAATTGAGACTTATTATACCCAAAAATACTTACCCAACACCCCCTCAGTCAGGAACCACGAGGGTGCTGGACGGAGCATGGAACCACCTACGATCCAAAGGTGGTGACCATAGGTGGAGGCAGTATGCAACTTTTACTTTTTAAGTTTGGGATCCTAGTTCAAGTTTTTCTATAATAAGGGTTTAAGAGGGGTGGTTGGTGATTTAATTAACTAAATAAACCTAACTATAAGAAACCAACCCCATTACCTTAAGCAATTCTAACTAAACACCTTAAATCAAAACATAAATGTCTTCAAACTCTCTCAACTCATGACTCCATTGAAGAGGAAGAGGAAGATTTCACTAGGGCTTAAAGAAGTAAAATTTCTTCCATAATTATTGAATATTTAAAAGGTATGGTTACTTTTAACTCTTGGGAATCCTTTCCCAAGAGATCCTCTCAAATTAAGCTTTCAAAAGTTCTGCCAAAAGCTAGGGTTTTACTCTTAAACATGGGTTTCATTCTTAAACAAATTTTATAGATTTATTATGATTAATCATGGATATTTAGGGTTGATTATATGTATAATGATAATTAATTTTTTTGTTCACTTGATTTCCCCTTTGACCCATGTTCTTCCCCAATTTCCTAAATCTAAAATTTGGTATTGTGGATTGGTTGAAGATGATGGATATACCAATTGTTAAAGTTGATGTTAGTTATGTTATTAATTCATGAATTACCTTATATTATGTGTTGATTACGCATTGTTAGGTTGATTAAAGTATCAAGTCCCTTGAAGTGAAAAAAAGTATGAAGGTTGTTCTCCATGGACCTCATATACGAGAGATGAATCATTTAGATGATGATGATTCTATATCGATCGTGTTGTTGTGGTATTGCTGAAAAGGTTTCCTCATCCTTAACCCAATACACTTGAATTAAGCATGAAGTAAGTATGTATGATATTCTAAGGTTATTTTATGACTGAAAGGTAGTTCTTATGATTACAATGTAATGATAAGTTAAACGCTTACTCAGTTGGCAGTGTTTCTAAAGTGAAACAACCATTCTCACTTATGATCACTTATGAGGTATTATGATAAGATGTTGGCATGAATGCCTAGTAAAGACTAAGGTTAACTTATGTGATGACTTAAGATGCTTTCTAAAAGTAATAATTGTGTAACACCGAGAGGACATGAAAATGAGATGGGAATCTAGCTTAGTGGATCCACTTCGATAGCTAGTATGAAAGGTTCCACCTTAGGCAAGTGGAAACCCTCTCTTTTTTGGTATGGGAGTAGAACACCGGATCCATGTAGCTCACATGGTCTATGTTGGTTATTGCAATCTTTCCTTAAGTTTAAAAGTAAATAAATTAATGTAAGGTTATAAAATCCCACTAGGGCTTTCTTAAAGTGTTCGACATAGTGGAAGGAAGGGTATGAGATTACTCGTGCACATTGCACACGTAGGATTCCAAGAGGGGGTTGTAGTAGGGACCTCATATGTTTATGTTGATTTTGTATTATGTATTCTCAGATATGTATGCTTATTATGCATGATCCTGACCTACGGGGTGTCACTCCCTTGACGGTCAATCAAATGCATTCGTTGAGGGTTGTTGTCTTTTGACAACTTTTTGTCAAAAAGTTTGGGTCCTTCTCAAGGACCCCTTGGGTGGTCCTGGATGTTTTGACCCTAAAAACATTGTTGTAACTATTTAAAGTATTTTTACTAGATTTAACCATCATACGACACTTCCAATCCTTCACAAGACCTTAGAACACCTACTAGTTTAATTTCACTAGATTCCAGACGTCATGGTTGTTTCTTGATGTTTATACTCTAATAATTCCAAACCAAGTTAATTACATTGGGGCTGTTTCTATAGGCAGATCTTACCCCTACCTTCTAGAGATAGAGAGGCTGTTAAAAAGGTGACTGATTTACATCTTTATATTGTTTCTATAGTACAGAGAAACTAGCTGCGATGTAACAACAATCATTGGGGCAATGTACACAACTATTTTGTTTGTTGGAACCAACAATTGTTCAACTGTACAGGCAACTGTAGCCGTTGGAACAACCATTTTTTATCGAGAAAGAGCTGTTGGAATGTACTCAATTACCATATGTTATGGCATAGGTAACCTTTATTTGTAAATTATATTCAATAAACTTATTGAATTTCACGAATTGATTTCATTTATTTGTATCGCAGGTTATTTCAGAAATACTTTACATCTTTATCCAAACTACATACTGCACTCTTATAGTGTATACACTGTTTAGCTTTGAGTTGACAACAGCTAAATTCTTCTAGTTCTACTTTGTGACCTTCTTCTCCTTTTATATTCTACGTACTACGGAATGATGACTGTTGTTATCACACCAAATCACAATGTGCTTCAATCTTTGCTGCAACATTCTTCTCGCTTTTCAGTCTCTTCTCATGTTTCTTCGTCCCAGACCAATAAGTTTACTCTTTACCACAGTCTCAAAATACCATAAACCTAACCACAAGACTAATTCTTATTGTTAACATTTAAGAGAATTCCAAAGTGGTGGATTTGGTATATCTGGATTCACCCAGTGGCATGGACTGTGTACAGGTGCATTGTCTCACAGTATGGTGATGTAGAGGATACAATAAAAGTTCCAGGAATGTCTATTGACCCTAAGATTAAGGACTACATCATAGATCATTTTGGATATAATCCGAACTTCACGGGACTAGTTGCCATAGTGTTGGTCGATTTTGCAATCTTTTTTGCATTTGTGTATTTCTATAGTATTAAGACACTGAACTTCCAGAGGAGGTAGATACATCTTATTAATAGTAGAGTATGGTAATTATTACATATTATGTTAAACTTCATACGTAAAGAGTTACCAACAAGGTGTCCACCTCTATAAAGATGTATTGCATTTGAAAGTTATGTAAATAACTAATTCTGTTGCATTTCTTTATTCTATTCATTTATTGATTTTTTAGGTTTATTTGGATCAATTTTTAAAAAAAAACTTTTACTTCGCTTAAAATTTAGCTTAATTCACGACATTTAATTAGTACGAACTTTTTCCATGTGAAATTATAAATGAAATAAAGACAAATAAAGGGTAGATGAATGAATAAAGACATATAATGAAATTATATGCTCACAAAATTATAAAAATGCTTATGTTTTTCAATTTATGACATTTTTAAAGTTGTAATTGTTACTACTTTTATAGGCTTCCATATATATTGTATGAAAAATAATTGTGTGTTGATTTCTATAATTAAAAGTCTAATCTTAAATTTAATGGGTCTAAATGACACCTTACAAAGTATGTGGTCTTATGTATAGATATTCAAATTTAATTTCTAGTTTAATGATGGGTTAAATTAGATTTACCTAAACTTGTGCCTATTATAAATAAAGGTTTATGATCCCCAAATCATGTAGGGTTTTCTATCTCACATCCCTTCGTTTGAAAGGACAGAACGGTGCACGTCTTCATTTGGAAGATTCATCATCGAAAGATGGAGAAACACTATGGTGTTTATGGATTCAAGTATGCTTTCTTATCTAGTATTACATCCTCAACGGTTTCATATGATAGATCTTGAGAAAAGACGATGGTTTGCAACTCTAAAATTCAGTTCTTAAATTGAAATCAGGAGCCTATATCGCGTTAAATGTTTTAACTTATTTCAATTATGACTTAAGAAGAAATTTTGTTATGATTTTGTGATTTTTTTCATGTACCGTGATTATTGATTTAGTGGGTTTGTTGATTCCCCTAAAATCTTGTTCATTAAAGCCATTTTATGGCAAAAGTTGTTGTCATGAAAAAATATATTCATTTTTGGTTGGTATTAAACATTTTAATAAAGTTGGATTAACATATCCTGTGGCACAAGGTTTTTTCCACTTTAAGGTGTAGGTTTAGGTTAAGACTTCTGTAAGAGAAGTTTTGAAACCTGAAGGCTACAAAATGGAATAATTCAATGCCATATATATATTTTACTGTTGGATCGGGTGATATGTTGGCATCTATAAGTGTGTACTTGTGTTTGTTGGTCTTTGAAGGACCAGGTTGATATGTTTAAATGTTAGGGTGGTTTCTTGTGTGGATAGAGAGGATATGTTAGCGTTGATTGTGAATTTTGAAAGCTCAGGCTATTTTATAGTGGTGGTTGGAATTGTCTATATTGGTTTGCTAAGTTGGGGCTATTTTTTCACATGTTGTATAATAAAAGTGTGTAAGGTGAGAATCAGTTGTAAGATTAGGAATCTAGTTCTCAGGGAATTATTATATTATAAGAGATTAGGCTATGATTTGGTGTGAGTGGAGTTGGCAGCAGAAGATTTAGTTGTATTTCAGCTTCAAGGCAATGACACTTGAGCGAGGCAGTGCGCGGGTGAATTTGGGGGCGGGGAGTGATTTCATATTTAAGATGCATGTTTCTCTGGTTATTTTGCATGATATTTTGTGGTGGGTTCGGGTCGACCAATGATGCACACCACTACATCTTGTTTGTATAATTACTCTATTGTTATGCCACTAGACATAGTCTTGTTGCAGGATTAAGTGATGTTTCATAAGTGGACGATGATGATCTTCAACAACTTCTACTCCTCCTTCCTATGGTGAGTTGTTCAGTCTTTTCTTTTATACATTGTATCTTTTTAGTAATTTTTGTACCTGTTTACACTAGTTCCTTCAGAGTAAATTTCAAATAATTATAAGAAAGATGAATTCCAAAAACAAAAGTTAGTATAAGCATTCAGGTGCAAACAAACAAATGGAAGTAGTAAAGATATCTTCATGCCCAAATGGGAAAAAAATCAAATCTACTTTAAACATAATCAGCGTGCGAAAGTGTCGAATTCGGATGCAAGGTCCTATAGGGCCCACTCACCTATCCACAACTAGCTCCAGATGGAGAACTTCGCAAATTTCTTAAACCCAAATGTGGGAAACTCTTATTGGGGAGAAACGTATGTGAAGATAAAATTGATAGTCGTCCACATCCAGCCAATTAGGCAGTCTCACACCTTTTTCTTCCTCTACTTTCAATTAAGTTGTCAAGAAGCAAATCGTTCTGCTCAGCAATGGAAGGCGAGATCATGTTACCAATAGAGGAAAATTTCTACAAACAACAACTAAGGCCTGATCCACACGCCTATTTGAGGGTAGGTGCTGGGATTGGGAAGGAGTGAAATTTCCGTCATCGTCGATATCACCTGTATAGCTTGAACCTACTGAAACACGACTGCTCCCAACTCCATCTACCATATTCATATTTTTATCGAGTGTGAGAAGCTTTTTACTAATAAGGTATTGAATTGGGGGTGCATCTGATTTATCTGGTATGTATCATCCATGGGTACCCTAACTCTTTTTCAAAGAACAAACACTAGCTCATGAAAAGCGAGCCCTACTTGTTGCCTCGGTACAAATCGTTACACTCTCACATTTTGTTGCCCTCACATTCAATTCGTCCTTTAATAGGCACATTACACTGCTATGGCATGGATAAGTTACATCAGTAAAATTTCCTAGTGGGTGAATTCTCCAGCCCATCACTATTATCAATGTGTATGCCTCTATAGAGAAGTCGGCACTAGTAATTCCCTTTTTAGTGGGCCAATATACCTTACTCTACTCATTGTTGACCAATGATTTCTACAACCACCTCATATATATTACCTTTAATTTGACCGATAACTCATCAGTAAGAATGTCTGACATCCTTAAGATTACATTCATTGTCTAAACGTCCACAGAAATTGCACCCTCTCCCCTCCCCTCCAGAATGCAAAAGAATAAGGAATCCAAAGGAACGTTAGAAAAGGAGCAAAGAATTCCCTCACTCAGCCTAAGAGGGTCGGTCGAGAATCCTGAATCATGCTCAAATCAAGTTTCTACACAAGGATAACCCTTCATCTCCCCCCATTATTTTGGACCTATTTTTTTTATCTTTTTCTCCATAAACCTTATGCCCAAAACATTGTAGTAGCATTTTAAAGGAGAGCCCCATGATCTAATAATTTCAACAAACAGTAGGAAAATTTCAAATTCTGATATTTAACCCCAAAAACTCTAATCTACCCTATTAAATTTTAGCATGCAGTAATTAGTATGTATTAATGAAGGCATAAAAGTAAAGACTATGACTTACCTTTATTTCAACATTTGAGGTGAAGTGATTAGACATAGTTTTAGAAGTCAAATACGGATATGGGGATGAAACTCATCCCCTCCCTTATATTTACTTTTAATTCTCGACAAACCGTTATACCTGCTAAGTGGCTGCCATAGCACCATTCTGACCGCTATAGCATGTCCATCTTAATGGAATAATAAATATTGCTATAACTATCATATCCATAAATGCCCTCATTTTTGTTATTCGCCGATCCAATACGGCAACATCGTTTGTCTCAAATAGTCACAATCTCCTTGTCCTTATTCTCTGTAGATATGTCGCAATTTGCACATAGCACAACTATTCTTCACAACCAGCCATTTCTATACACATTCCTCATGGTACTTGTGCCCACAATGAAGAATGTCAATCTTTTCCTTATCTGTGTAGTCATTTTACACTAGCATGTGTAACATATGAAGGTCATCGAAGCTATCTCAAAGAAATAAGCAATATGAAGAGGGATATAACTCTAAAGAAAAAAAAATAAATCAAAATTTAACAAAACGTAATTGAATAGGAGACTAATAGTCATGTAGAAGCAATGAAGGATGCCTAATACCGATTCACCACTAGAAGCTAACCTATATAAGCTCACCCTATAGGTAAATAAGATACAAACATCAAAGTAGGAATAAAATCACAACATAGACGTCAAGGTCAGATTGTGTCATGTGGTTAACCAAAAAGTTTCTTATTTGCATGATAAAGAAAGCTTATAGAGAAACTTTTGAGTTTTTCAGATGGCATATTCTCTCCACAGCCTCTATGTTGTGATTTTTTGAAGTTTGCATCTTATTCAGCTGAAGGGTGAGCTTAGGGAGGTTAGCTTCTAGATCTAAATAGGCATTAGGCATTATTCATTCCTTCTGCATGACTATTACTGTTGTATACAATTATGTGTTGTCAAAATTTTATATGATTTGCTTTTTAGTAGAATTATATTCCTTTTATTATTGCTTATTTGTTTAAGATACCCCGATTACCTTTATATATACTCACTTTATTGCATAATGACTAAAACTTCTAGGAGAAGATTGCATCTTAACTATCGGCATGAGTATCATAAAAAGTGCGTAAAAAATGTCTAGATGTGAAGAGTAGTTTTGTTATATGTGATTCTGCAACATTGTCTATAGAGAAAAAGGACAAGGGTTTGTGAATATAAGATGTGATTGATGTTTCCATATCGGGTAAGTGAATAAAAAAAAGTAGGGAAATTCTGGTTTTGATGTTTATAACAAAATTTCTTTCCGCCTACATAAATTGGACCCCGCTATATTAAGATGTTGTTATTGTTTCTTGTTGCGGATTAAAAGTGAAGATAAGGGATGGATATGGGTTTCATTATCATTTCCTTCTTTGACTTCCCAAATGTTCTCTATTCAAGTTTTCCCGAACATCAAAATCAAGGTAACACATTCTCTACTTTTATGCCTTCATTACGTACAAGGTACATACTAATTATTGTGTGATAAAATTTAATAAAGTAGATTTGAGTTTTATGGTCAAATTTTGGAATTTGAATTTTGCTCTTGTTTCTTGTAATTGTTAGAACAAAGGGCTTCTCTTAAACTTAAAAAGCTACTACAACATTCTGGGTATATGGATTTTGTATAAAAGGGCCGAAAATGGGTCTGAGATAGAGGAGGGAGTTTAAAGATTGTTCTTAGGTAGAAACTTAGATTTGGGCATGATTTAGGTTGTGGAATGCCTAGATTCTTGCATATTTTATAGTAGGTACATGATTTAAAAATACTTTATATGTAGTAAAATCATTTCAAGCAGCATTTTGGAGGCAAAGGGTGCGATTTAGGCATCCGTTGTAATATAGGAAACTATAACAGAAAAATTCTCAATAGCCTTTTTTCTGGACAAATCTTTTATTAGTATATTTTATGATTTCTAAGTTGATGTCGTGCAATTGCAAATTCATAACTCAAATTATTTTCAATCAGGAATAACCTTATAAAATGTGAGATTTCCTGACAATATTAGTCGGGAATGATTCAGGGAATACCGTACTATGGAATTTTGTTACGTGAGGTCCTTCCGCATGTGAGGTGTCGAGGAGAAGGACCACCATAATTTTCATCATCCTCTCTATGGAAATTCATAACAACTGCACTATCGCCAACTATCAATAATGTCTTCCTCTAAGCTAACCTGGAAGAGAAAGTGTACATGGTACAACCTCTAGGGTTTACTAGTTCTGAAAAACCAACGCGCATATGTCAGCTACAAAAATATATCTATGGATTAAAATAGTCTCCTTGGGTGTGGTACAATGATATCACGGGTTATCTTCATCCATAGGATGTTATATAATCCCTTTTTCCTTTTCAAACATAGTGAAGGTGACACCTTGTTTATCCTATCCAATGTAGACGGCATTATTATCATTGGGAACAATAATTTAATTTTCAATTAGGTTATTACTTCCCTTTCTTCTAAGTTCTCTATAAAATATTTAAGTAATCTTCACTACTTTCTTGGTGTTGAAATTATACACAACTCTAGCGGTCTAATTCTCACCAAAGTTAATTATGTGACTAAAATTTTAAGTGATGAACTAAGGACCAACTGCAAGAGTTTTCACATGCCAATGAGTGCATCTGATTTTCTCACCTTGTCTGATGGAACTTACTTGACTAATATTTCACGTTATTGTTGTGTCTTGGGTAGGATTCAATAACTATCTTTCAATACAACAGATATAGCCTATGTAGTGAAGAAGTTGTCTCAATTCATGCAAGCACCATCAAACCTTCATTGGAAGGCTATAAAATTGTGTTCTTCGATACTTGTGTGGTACTATTCAACTAGCCTACATGTTACTCACATTGATGAATTTAATTTATATGTATACTCTGATGCAGATTGGGTTAAGGGCCTTGTCATAGAGTTTCTACATTTGGTTAGATCTTACTTCTTGGTCAAAATTCGATTAGTTGGTCTGTAAAGTAGAAAAATACTATCTCACACTCCTGCATTCAGCTATCTCCTAAATGCACTGCAATTTCGGGTACATCACTTATCCAAATTTTATTCTAACAAGCTTGGAGCCATGTTCTTGAGCAAAAATCACGTCCTCCATAGTTGTGTTAAGAATGTTGTCATGGACTTTCGCTTTGCTTGTCTTCATGTTAACATCATAAAGGTTATTATAGGTCATGTCTATGTGTCTATCAAACAGTTGACACTTTCACCAAAACACTACCTAAATCTACTTTTGAGAGTAATATGTTCAAGATAGGTTTGTAACTCATCACCTAACTTGACAAGGTGTATTAGGAAATTATGTGTCAGTTAAAACATAGGCTACTAGTTTAGTCAAATTAGGATACTACATTAGTTAGTTAAACAGTTATTATTTTTTTATTACTTTAACACCACAAAAATTGGTAAATAGATCCTTTCGTAAAAACGACTCCCGTA